AGGTTCCTCAAGGCTCCTCAAGGTTCCTCAAGGTTCCCGAAGGTTCCCCGCTCCCAAGGTTCCCCAAGGTTCCCCAAAGCCTCCTCAAGGTTCCTCAAGGGTTTCTTTTATAATCTCTGTTACTAGATCTTCCACTGTACCAAAATAGGCCCCTTTGATTCTCTCTATCATCACTACAACACTAAATAACTCTATTATGTAATTTATATATATATATATATCTATGTACGCATAAATCTTCTTATTTTCTTCATTTTATATAAATTAAACTAAATCATAAACATTATATCAGGAATTAATACAAAAATGGCGGGGAAAATATATGTGACGTCATAGGTAAACACAGTCTTGGGCCAATATATTTTGTTTTAGGTTTTCACTGTTAGAGGTTTCACTGTTAGGGTTTCACTGTTAGAGGGTTTCACTGTTAGGGGTTTCACTGTTGGGGTTTCACTGTTAGAGGTTTCATGTTAGGGTTTTCACTGTTAAGAGGTTTTCACTGTTAAGAGGTTCACTGTTAAGAGGTTTTCACTGTTAGGGGTTTCACTGTTAAGAGGTTTCACTGTTAAGAGGTTTCACTGTTAAGAGGTTTCTGTTAAGGGTTTCACTGTTAGGGGTTTTCACTGTTAGGGGTTTCACTGTTAATAGGTTTCACTGTTAGAGGTTTCACTATTAGGGGTTTCACTGTTAGGTTTCACTCACTTCTCTCATTCTCTCATTCTCTCCTTCTCTCCTCCTCCCATTCTCTCACTTCTCTCATTCTCTCACTTCTCTCATTCTCTCACTTCTTTCCTTCTCTCACTCCCATTCTCTCATTCTCTCACTTCTCTCATTCTCTCACTTCTCTCATTCTCTCACTTCTCTCACTTCTCTCACTTCTCTCATTCTCTCATTCTCTCATTCTCTCACTTCTCTCACCCGAAAAGTGTTCTGGGTCGTTATGTCTTTTGCGCTAATGTGGTTTTCTTAAATACTCTCTCTCTCTCTCTCTCTCTCTCTCTCTCTCTCTCTCTCATCTTCACTACCACCCCCTGCAGCAGCTACTGGAGTATGTGGTGGAGGAGGACGTGGAGGTGGAGGTGGAGAGCCAGTCAGTGATGGTGCAGGTGGTGGTGAAGTGTACCGTCGTGGTGGTGAAGTGTACCGTCGTGGTGGTGAAGTGTACCGTCGTGGTGGTGAAGTGTGCCGTCGTGGTGAAGTGTACCGTCGTGGTGGTGGAGTAGGTGGAAGTGTGAGCACCAGAAGGATGAGTATGACCTCCACCATCCTCCACTACAGCCAGGTGGAACTCTGTCGCATGGAGGAAAACCTTATTATTATTATTATTATTATTATTATTATTATTATTATTATTATTATTATTATTATTGTTGTTGTTGTTGTTGTTGTTATTATTATTATTATTAATATTATTATTATTATTATTATTATTATTGTTGTTGTTGTTGTTGTTGTTATTATTATTATTATTATTATTATTATTATTATTATTATTATTATTATTATTATTATTATTATTATTATTATTATTATTATTATTATTATTGTTATTATTATTATTATTATTAATATTATTATTATTATTATTATTATTATTGTTGTTGTTGTTGTTGTTGTTGTTGTTGTTGTCGTTGTTGTTGTTTCTCTATTATCACTATTAAAAAACGTAATATTTTTTCCTTATCCTAGTGTTCCTTATATCTTTATCCTAGTGTTCCTTATCTTAGTGCTCCTTATATCCTTATCCTAGTGTTCCTTATCTTAGTGTTCCTTATATCCTTATCCTAGTGTTCCTTATACCCTTATCCTAGTGTTCCTTATCTTAGTGTTCCTTATATCCTTATCTTAGTGTTCCTTATATCCTTATCTTAGTGTTCCTTATACCCTTATCCTAGTGTTCCTTATCTTAGTGTTCCTTATATCCTTATCTTAGTGCTCCTTATACCCTTATCCTAGTGTTCCTTATATCCTTATCCTAGTGTTCCTTATCTTAGTGTTCCTTATATCCTTATCTTAGTGCTCCTTATACCCTTATCCTAGTGTTCCTTATATCCTTATCCTAGTGTTCCTTATCTTAGTGTTCCTTATATCCTTATCTTAGTGCTCCTTATACCCTTATCCTGAGTGTTCCTTATATCCTTATCCTAGTGTTCCTTATCTTAGTGTTCCTTATATCCTTATCCTAGTGTTTCTTATATCCTTATCCTAGTGTTCCTTATCTTAGTGTTCCTTATATCCTTATCTTAGTGTTCCTTATACCCGTATCCTAGTGTTCCTATCTTAGTGTTCTTATATCCTTATCTTAGTGCTCCTATACCCTTATCCTAGTGTTCATATATCCTTATCCTAGTGTTCCTTATCTTAGTGTTCCTTATATCCTTATCTTAGTGCTCATTATCCTTATCTAGTGTTCCTTATATCCTTATCCTAGTGTTCCTTATCTTAGTGTTCCTTATATCCTTATCTTAGTGTTCCTTATATCCTTATCCTAGTGTTCCTTATATTCCTTATCCTAGTGTTCCTTATCTTGAGTGTTCCTTATATCCTTATCTTGAGTGCTCCTTATACCCATATCCTAGTGTTCCTTATATCCTTATCCTAGTGTTCCTTATCTTAGTGTTCTTATATCCTTATCTTAGTGCTCCTATACCCTTATCCTAGTGTTCCTTATATCCTTATCCTAGTGTTCCTTATCTTAGTGTTCCTTATATCCTTATCTTAGTGTTCCTTATATCCTTATCCTAGTGTTCCTTATATCCTTATCCTAGTGTTCCTTATCTTAATGTTCATATATCCTTATCTTAGTGCTCCTTATACCCTTATCCTAGTGTTCCTTATCCTTATCCTAGTGTTCCTTATCTTAGTGTTCCTTATATCCTTATCTTAGTGCTCCTATACCCTTATCCTAGTGTTCCTATATCATATCCTAGTGTTCCTTATCTTAGTGTTCCTTATATCCTTATCTTAGTGTTCCTTATACCCTTATCTTAGTGTTCCTTATATCCTTATCCTAGTGTTCCTTATCTTAGTGCTCCTTATACCCTTATCTTAGTGTTCCTTATACCCTTATCTTAGTGTTCATATATCCTTATCCTAGTGTTCCTTATCTTAGTGCTCCTTATACCCTTATCCTAGTGTTCCTTACATCCTACACGTAACATCATGAAGACTTTGTAGCGTCCTTAGCAACCGTCAGTACACAGGAGGTTGGCGGTTGCTAAGGACGCGGTGGCTGGCTGAGGATAGTTTTCTTAGATACAAATTGACTGATTATCCTCTGAGGGGGTTGGTAGAGTAACAGGTTATATATAGACTGGTAGACTGGCGTAGACTGGCGTAGATTAGACTGAGGTGTAATCATAGGGTGTGTGTTTGTTTGTTTTCCTGGGGTGGTGTATGTGTATGTTTTTGTCTCCTGGTGTTTGTGTGTTTGTTTACCTGAGGTGGTGTTTGTGTGTTTGTTTACCTGAGGTGGTGTATGTATATGTTTTTCTCTCCTGGTGTTTGTGTGTTTGTTTACCTGAGGTGGTGTTTGTTTGTTTGTTTTACCTGGGGTGGTGTATGTGTATGTTTTTGTCTCCTGGTGTTTGTGTGTTTGTTTACCTGAGGTGGTGTATGTATATGTTTTTCTCTCCTGGTGTTTGTTCCACTGGTCCTCTGGGTCCCGCTGTTGGTGAGGCTGTTTGTGCTGTTCCTCGGCCGACACAGCTACGGTGCCGTTCTTCACTGTGGGGGAGAAACAGTGCTGTCAGTTTGGTGGGAAGAGTGTGAGTGACTGTATGTACATATAATACATACATACATACATACATACATACATTGAAAATCTCTTTTGAATTAAACTTGTGATTACTGAAGTCATTGTTATTGTTACGTATGAATCCAACCTAACCTAACCTAAACCTAACCTAACCTGACCTGACCTGACATAACATGACCTGACCTGACCTAAACCTAACTGACCTAACCTAACCTAATCTGACCTAACCTAAACCTAACCTGACCTAACCTAATCTGACCTGACCTGACCTGACATAACATGACCTGACCTGACCTAACCTAAACCTAACCTGACCTAACAATCTGACCTGACCTGACCTAACCTAACCTAACCGATTAAATCTGTTTATTGTGTGAGGTGGAGGAGGGCACATGAGCCACTAGGAAGAATAAGAAAGAAAGAAAGAGGGAAGAGAGAAACAATAAGAAGCTTGGAAGGAAGAGAGAGAGAGAGAGAGAGTTGGAAGGCTGCCACAGAAGCTATATAAGAGAGGCACAAATGTTGAAGGAAACTCTCTTAAAAAATAGAAAAGGAAGAGAAACAAAAAAGAGAATTTAATGGGAGTAAAAAAAAGAGATGAGAGAAAATGAGAGAAGGACAATGGAGGAACTCAGAGTTGACCTAAAATGGGTCATTAGTTGTCTTGAGCCTCGAGAGAGAAAACACGGAAAAAGCTCCTTCAGTTCAGGTCAGGTCAGGTCGGGTCCAGTTCAGGTCAGGTCAGGTCGGGTCCAGGTCAGGTCGGTTCAAGTCCAGGTCAGGTCGGGTCCAGGTCAGGTCGGTTCCAAGTCAGTTCAGGTCGGGTCAGGTCAGGTCGGTTCAAGTCAGTTCAGGTCAGGTCGGGTCAAGTCAGGGAAGATGCTATCTAATAAAAGAGGAGAAAAGAAGAAAGGAGAAGGAGAGAAGAAAGAGAGCATAACAATACACTCACTCCTCACCTAGACCAGGTTTCCATAGCAACATTCCATCTTCTGACTGAAGGGTGATGGTTGTAGGCAGAGTTGTGGTAGTAGTCGTGGTGGTGGTGGTGGTGGTAGTGGTGGTGGTGGTGGTAGTAGGTGGTATCTCTGAAATAAAATAACACAGGAATTAAAAAAATAGTCAAAAAAATATATAAACTTTTAATTAATGAGAAGGAATCGAATTAATATTTTGATGTTAATAGGAAAATTTAGAGATATACTTTTAAACGTAAATAAAAAGGACAAGATGTTTTATTTTATGATGGAACTTTAATAAACTTACTAAATAAAGCTACTCTGGCCTCAGCTGTCCCCTCCGTGTTGTTGGCTCGACATCTGTAGCCAAACAGATCCACCTCCTGCACGTCAGCCACTACCAGCGTCATGATCCACCGTGATGAGTTGACGTACATGACCCCGTGTACGTATTTCTGCACCTGTGGATGTAGTGAGGATAGTTGATGAGTTGACGTACATGACCCCGTGTACATTTTGCACCTGTGGGGAGGGTGAAGAAGATCAGAGGTGGGGAAGGAGTTATAGTTCAGAAATTGAAGAAGTTTAGGAGTAGGTAAGAGGGGTGGGCTGACCGACTAATGGTGTGTTAGGGTTGTGTCATGGGTTAGTTATTGTCTGTCGGTACAGGCACTAGACATCCTACCCTGTCCCATATATGGGTGTTTTTAAGGCCTTATTTCATATTCCGCCGACCCTACTGGCGGATGCTGGTCTAGGGAGGTTGTCTATTGCCTGGCCGTGTAGATCGGGGTGGTAATGGACCTTTGGTAACTTTATGGGAACCATGTTTGGTTGTTGTCGTTATCTGGTAGAGAGTCTTTGAAGGAGTTCTTGCTCTGATCGTTCTATCTTTTGCCAGACTCTGCTGGCCAGGTGTGCAGCTGCTGGTTGATGGGTTTTATTCTCAGGTCTCTATGTATCTCGGCTGTGGTTCTGGTGAAGGGTATCTTTCTGTGACGAATCTGAGGGCTTCATTTGGACCACCTGTAATTTTAATATTTGAGTGGTGCTCTATAGTATGAAGAGGTACTGCTGGGTAAGTTAATATCGGTATGATAAATGATGTCACCAGATTGAGTTTTATTTTCTCAGGAAGCGCTTTAAGCGGTATAGTTTCTCAGCTCTCTTCTTGCCTTTTCCTTCCTGGTGTGGACATGATGGGAGTAACCTGTCGTGGATATATGCAGGCCAGGAGGTGCCTCTGCTTTTGTATTCTATCTGGGCATTATTGGTTACTAATGGATGGGTTTTCCTTCTGCATAAGGGTGTCACTGTGAATTTCGGGAGACTGGTTTGGATTTTCCATTGTTTTTCGTAATTATTTACCCTTTCTAATTCCCTCCTGGTGTTGTCGACCTGTATCGCGATTTTCCTTGATGTGTTGTTGTTTGGGTGATGTCATCTACATACAATATCTTCGTTACCTATTCTAGTGGGAGGCGGGGTGTCACTTGTGTAGATAATATATAGGGTGGGGGAGGACGCTGCCCTGAGGTCTCCGCTCATGAGTGGAAGGTCTCTCCTGTGTGTTGTCCTACCCTCAGTCTGGCATTTCTGCCGTCAAGAAAGTTGCCAAAGCAGCTTCTCAATGTTGGTGGGAAGTCCGAGTTGGAGGATCTTATATGTTGGACCGTCGTGCCAGACTGCTAAATGCCTTCGCTACATCGAGAGTTAGATTACATTGTCTACCACTCGCCGCGGCTCTGGCTGTTTCACATGCCAGGGCTATCGCTGTTGTGGTGGACTTCCCTTTCCTGGACCCGGATGTCTGCAGTTGACTCTGTTGGTTGTTTAGGTGATTTCTCAGACGGTTATTGATGATTTTTTCTTGGATTTTCCAGGTACTTCGAGGAGAGATCGGTCTGTAGTTTAGTGGGACGGCGGGGTTCTCTCCTTGTTAGGGTTAATAATGGCCTCTTTGAATTTAGTTGGGAAGTAACCTGAGGCCAGGCAAGCGTTGTGGTTCTCAGTCTCTCCATGGCGGGTTGTCTATTGTGGCTGAGGATCTCCTTGGTGATGCCTGAATAACCAAGGGCTTTATTTTTGTATTGGAGATGGCTCTGTTGAGTTCTTCTGAGGTGATTGGTTGGGACAGTGGGCTGTGGTGGTGCTGCGGTGGGGTAGTGGTGGTGGGGGTGTTTATGGGGGGTGATTTGTGGTGGTGGTGGTGCCGTAGCATAGTGGTGGTGGTGGGGGTGGTTTGTGAACTAATGATAAACAACTATAAACAATAATGTAACAAACAAATACCAAACAAACAAATAAACAAATAATTCCAAGCTATGACAAACAAAGGCAAACAATGCTAGACCTGACCTGACACCACCACGTTAATACCGACACAACAACAACAACAAAATAATAATAAAAATAACTAAAATCAACACTAACAACAACATCCCAACCATCATCAAGAATAAACATTAAATAAATACAATATAACTAGTATTTAGCCTAACCTAACCTAACCTAACAATAATAATAAAAGATTCGACTCCCCAAAAATCTGGGGAGTCGAAGCTTCAACAATTATGGCGCCAGTGAAGAAAGTTTTGTTCACGCTACAGATGAAACAGTTCCGACCCACTGATTCATAGGGTTTCCCGTTTATTATTGTCTTTTATTCATGTTATATCTCTCTCTCTGTCTTTTTTCTCTCTCTTCTTTTCTCTCTGTTATTATTTTTATCTCTCTCTCTGTCTCTCACCTTCTTCACCTATCCTCCTCTCTTTATTAATTCCTATAATCATCATCTTTTCTGTGTATCATTTATCATTGTATTGTCTTTGTAATTCTTCCAATTATCACATCCTATTTAATACACCTTATTACATTATAGTTCCGTTCATTATATTGTTGTTTTTCAGTACCCCCAGTTCCTCTCAGTACCCTCCAGTTCCTCCCAGTACCCTCCAGTTCCTCCCAGTACCCTCCAGTTCCTCCCAGTACCCTCCAGTTCCTCCCAGTACTCCCCAGCTCCTCCCAGTACTCCCCAGTTCACAGTACCCTCCAGTTCCTCCCAGTACCCTCCAGTTCCTCCCAGTACCCTCCCAGTACTCCCCAGTTCTTAAGAACATAAGGAGTCTGCAATAGGCCGGTTGGCCTGTGCATAGCAGCTCCTGTCGAGGTACTACCACTCTCTATCATCCATGAATCTATCCAGCCTCCTTTGAAACTTTCAGAGTTCCTCACTTACTACAAAGTTGCTAAGCTTGTTCACTCGTCCACCACCCTATTTGTGAACCAGTTCCTTCCTATCTCCTCCCTAAACCTAAACTTATCCAACTAGATCCGTTGCTCCGGGTCCTATCCTGCTCGGATATTATAAGAACTTTATCTATATCCCCTTTATTGATTCCTTTCACCCACTTAAATACTTCTATCATATCTCCCGCACTCTTTGTCTTTCTAGGGAATGCAAGTTAAGTTTCTTTAACCTATCCTGATATGGAAGGTTACTAAGCCCCGGAATCATTTTTTGTCATTCTTCGCTGCACCGACTAGTGAATTTATATCCATTCTATAATAGGGGCACCAGAACTGAACCGCATAATCGAGGTGCGGCCTGACTAGCGCAAGATATAGTTGCAATAAGATCTCTGCACTCTTGTTACTTACACTTCTAGATATAAAACCCAATACTCTGTTTGCCTTATTTCGAACATTAACGCACTGTTTTCTAGGCCGTAGGTCCGGGCTTACAAATACCCCCAGGTCTCTTTCACAAGTCAACTTCTCTAGGTTGATGTTGTTAAGGCTGTATACATTATAAGTATTTGTTCTTCCAATATTAAGTACGCTGCACTTATGGTGTTGAATTTCATTTTTCAGACCACCCCTGCAGTTTATTTAGATTCTCCTGTAACCTCTCCCTCTCTCTCTGTGTGCAGGACTTACCTCTCTGGCAGTGTGTTGGTGGAGGTGGTAGACCCCTCGGCCAGGGTGGGAGGTGATGGGGTCGCCGAAGTCCCTCACCCACACCATCTTGGGCTCGGGGAAGGCGTCCACCACACACGTCAGGTTCACCGTGGACCCCAAGTTGACCAAAACCTGGGCTGTCGTGGCTCGGATCATAGGCTGGACTGAGGAACCAAACGAACAGTTAATTAAAGCCATCGAAAGGTAAGGTCAAGGTTAATTGGTACTTTTATAGGTTAATTGGTACTTTTATAGGTTAATTGACACTTACACCTGTACACACCTCCCAAAATGAAGCAGTATCGACCCCATATGAGACACTACAACACCCACTGACTCAGTTTCATCACAGGGACACAACTTATGCACCACGACCTTAACAGTACATAGAATATAATAGAGAATGACCAGATTAATTAATGCTCAGGACAGGTAAAGGTAATACATGTAAAAATAACGTTAATTAACCAGCATGGACAGGTAAGAATAATTGGAATTTCGTTAAAGATGGTGAAAAATCGGGGGTCACAAGGAAGACAGCTGTTAATTAGGAAGGTAGACAGGTTAATGAGTACAGGTGATGATGATAGTGGAGAGAGAGAGAGAGAGAGAGAGAGAGAGAGAGAGAGAGAGAGAGAGAGAGACAACTTACATCTTACACTCAGTAGGATCCTCTTGCTGACTGAAGGTAGGACGCCGTTGCTGGCTATACACAGGTAGGCCCCAGCGTGTTCCCTCAGCAGGTGGGGGATGGTCAGCTCTCGACCCATCACCATCAACTCTAAGGGCGCCAACCACCGTCAGGAGATGAGATACATTAAACCTTATCTGTATATATATATATATAATCAACAACCTCACCAGCCAGGACTCGAACCCTCGACCTTATGCGTGTGACCAGAGATCGCGCCACAAGGACACATAAGTGGCATGGGCAATCCCCAACTGGAGGTTCACGGCGCCATAGGCTCCATGAACAGGCATTGTGTGAAATATAACAAAGTCTACGATTGCTTTTTGTGTCCTTGTGGCGCGGTTGGTAGCGATCCCACCACCTACACCCACTACCTACACCCACCACCTACACCCACCACCTACACCCACCACCTACACCCACCACCTACACCCACCACCTACACCCACCACCTACACCCACCACCCACACACCCACCACCCACACACCCACCACCCACACACCCACCACCCACACCCACCACCCACACCCACCACCCACACCCACCACCCACACCCACCACCCACACCCACCACCACACCCACCACCCACACCCACCACCCACACCCATCACCCACACCCACCTCCCCACACCCACCACCCACACCCACCACCACACCCACCACCTACACCCATCACCTACACCCACCACCTACACCCACCACCTACACCCACCACCTACACCCACCACCTACACCCACCACCTACACCCACCACCTACACCCACCTGTCTTGCCCGAGGCGTAGATCAGACGAGAGTCTTCCCGTCGCCACCTGTAGGAAGGCTCGGGCTTCCCGCTGGCGCCGCAGAAGAGGCTCACTTGTTCCCCCTCGTCCACCTCCAGGTCACTGCTCGTGTTGGCGTCCAGGATCTTCGGCGGCACTGGCGAACAGACGATAGTGCGTTAGGGGTGGTGAGTGCGTCCTGTTATGGGTCTCAGATTATGTGTGTTAGGTTGAGTGCTTCAGGTTGAGTGCATTAGGTTGAGTGTGTCATGGTAGGTGTGTGTTAGGTTGAGTGCATTAGGTCGTGACGTCATTGCCCCTTGCCTACGTACGGCTCTAGCACTCATGACGTCAATGTCCTTCACCTTCTTACTGGCTGGTACACGTGTTTGTTCCTCGAATCTCATTGGCTATTACACTCGTGACATCAATGACCTTAAACCTTTTATTGACTAATACTCGTGACGTCAATACTCCTCACCTCGTATTGTTTTTTTACTCGTGACGTCATTGCTTCTTACCTCCTATTGGTTTTTGTACCCGTGACGTCAGTACTCCTCACCTCCTATTGGTTTTTGTACCCGTGACGTTTACTCCTTACCTGTTACTGGTTTTTACATTTGTGACGTCATCGTTGCTCGTCTCTTATTGGATCTCGCACTCTACTGAACACGGTCTTGGGATTAATTCTTCTTCTTCTTCATTATTATTATTATTATTATTTCATGCTGACATAACAAAGGAGAGTTGCTATATAATAAGGTTCCAACTGTGCTTGATTACGTGTGCGTGTGTACTTGGTTATGTGCGTACGTAAGTGGTGTTGTATGTGCTGTATACGTGTGTGTGTGTGTGTGTGTGTGTGTGTGTGTGTGTGTGTGTATAATGTATATATGTATGTGGCGACCTGTGGTGTAATGGTCACCATGCTCGCCACACAAGAGAACGGACCCGGGCAAGTTTCTTTACGCCATTTGCCTCCGTCTACCCAGCAGTAATTGGGAACCTGGATGTTAGTCGATTTGTGGATCGTGTTCCAGGGTAATGGTTAGCCAGTGCAGTTGGCGAGTTGTCCGGTCTTCTCGGACTATTCCTTGACACTGGGTCATGCAGCTCTTAACTCAGGGTGTGGTTGTTGTGTTGGCGACAGCTTCTACACCTTAAACACTGGGTCATGCAGCTCTTAACTCAGGGTGTGGTTGTTGTGTTGGCGACAGCTTCTACACCTTAAACACTGGGTCATGCAGCTCGTTAACTCAGGGTGTGGTTGTTGTGTTGGCGACAGCTTCTACACCTTAACAAATTCACGCCTAGGAGGCTCCTGGGCCGCCCCCAGGAGCCATCACTGTAATGATATAATGAACACTGTATGATGTCGGATCACCAACCTTACGGCCTGTAGTAATGACGTAACTAAATGCCTTGACAAAATCCTATTGAAGGTCTCTGTGTGTGTGTGTGTGGTAATAATAATAATAATAATAATAAAAATAATAATAATAATAATAATTAACGGTTTATTGAAAGACCATGGCAGCCGGAAGACTGAAAATATACAGTTACATAATTGGTAAATGGGTCTCTTGATGGACCAATAATATACAAGTAACATAAGTGATACAAATATGATATATAATAACTAGGTGGGGAGAAGGTCATACTACAAGGCATTTCAACATAGTGACAGTGCAAGAAGTAGTGTTTACTGGGAGTGAATACACTGGTTTATTACAAGTTATTGATAATTTTTACAATGGTTGGGACTGGGCTGTTCTTATAGCGATCAGTTCGTGAACGTATGGGCTGGATGCGGTTGTGGTGTCGAACAGCAATTCTCGGGCTAGGGATCTCAGGTGGTAGTAGGAGCCGGTGTCGAGGATGGTGCAGAAGCTTCTCACCAAATTTGCAGATGAGGTCGTGGTGATGGTCAGAGAGAGCCGAGAGGGTCAGTGTGTTGAGCGCTTCTTGATATGTGGAGTAGGAAGGGGAGAGAATAATCATGCATGCCCTCTTTTGCACTTTTTCTGGGTGTTTACGTTGTGTGGCATTTAGGGAGGAAGACCAGGTATGGGAGGCATAGGTGAGCTTGGGAAGTATGATTGTTGAGTAAACACTGAGGAGCTCGGGGGCAGGAACTCCGAGGGACTTGAGTCGGCGGAGGAGGTGGAGACGGAAACTGGAGGATTTGACAACTGTACTGACGTGTGGTTTCCAATTTAGTTTGTTGTCTATGGTGACGCCGAGGAGCTTAGTGGAGTCTACAACCTGGAGTGTGTTGGGGCCTAAAGTAATGGAAGGGGGATGGGACAACGTCGGAGGAGAGGTTGATGTGCATAACCATGGTCTTGGTATAGTTCATGGTGACGTGGTTGTTGGTGGCCCAATTTTGGAGACTGTTCAATAAATCCTGGAGGGCGGTGTAGTCGGGAGCCGAGTTGTTGACACTGATCCCAATGGTGGAGTCGTCGACATATTTCTAGCCAGCAGGGGTTTGTGTGTGTGTGTGTGTGTTCCCGCCCTTACTGACAAAACTGCTAATGTGTTTCGAGCAGGAGGTCTTCTTCTTCTTCATCTTCTTCTTCTTCTTCTTCTTCTTCTTCTTCTCCTCCTCCTTCCTTCGTCCTCCTCCTTCCTTCGTCCTCCTCCTCCTCCTCCTCCTCCTCTTCTCCTCACTCCTCCTCCTCCTCCTCCTGCACTCCTCCTCCTCCTCCTCCTCCTCCTCCTCCTCCCTCCTCCTCCTCCTCCTCCTCCTCCTCCTCAAGATCATGGCCTCCTATAAAGGGTTTAAAGCCGCAATTGTTTTCACCTTTACCTTAATTAACTCCTTGATCCACGCCGCTGATCAAAGCTTATCCTGGTTCACCTAAGCCTGGGTCCTGAGCTCTTCTATTAAAGCTTTAACCAGGGCCAATTGTAAGCTTTTGAGGTTTGTTTCAGCATGAGCTTTTCTTTCTCTGTCTGTCTGTCTGTCTATCTGTATGTCTGTCTGTCTATCTGTCTGTTTGTCTGTCTGTCTGTCTGTCTGTCTGTCTGTCTGTCTGTCTGTCTATCTGTCTGACTGTCTGTTTGTCTGTCTGTCTCTGTCTATCTGTCTGTATGTCTGTCTATCTGTCTGTCTGTTTGTCTGTCTGTCTGTCTGTCTGTCTGTCTGTCTGTCTGTCTGTCTGTCTAATACTTGTACAAAAGGGGTAATGTATTTTTGCTGACGCTGAAATATAAGGTTTACGTAACACGGAAATAAAAACGGTCTTAACACTGAGGTGGACGATAAAGTGTGTTCGCCAGACGGACCTTCGCCTGACTAACTTTCTTCCCTGGTCTGATTACTCCTTTCTCTCTCTCTCCCTCCTTCCTGCATTCCTTCTTCTTCCCTCATTTCCATCGTTCCCTTCTTCTTCCCTCATTTCTCTCTCCCTTCTCACCTCCCTGGGATTTCCTTTTCTTTATTTCCTCTCTCCCTCCCTCAACCATCTCTCTCTCTCCCTCCCTCTCTCCTCCTCCTCCTCCCTCTCTCCTTCCTACCCTCCCTACCTCCCCTCTCTCCCTCTCTCCTCCCTCCCCTCCCTCCTTCTCTCCCTCCTCTCTCCCTCTCTCTCTCCCTCCCTACCTCCTCCCTCCCCTACCCTCACTCCCTCCCTCTCTCCTCCCTACCTCCTCTCTCCCTCCCTCCCTCCCTCCCTCCCTCCCTCCCTCTCTCTCCCTACCCTCCCTACACCACAGGGAGAGTATAATGTTCTCTCCCTCAACTGGCCGTTCAGTATCTAGTTAAGGTTCATTCTCTCGCTTCCATTAGGACACCAAGTTCAGTTAGTTCATTTGTTCTTTGTTCATTTTAAAAAGTTTGGGGAGGGTTGGGGAGGGGAGGGGAGGGGAGGTTAGGTCAGGTTAATTTAGGTCAGGTCAGATCAGGCCAGGTTAGGTCAGGTTATTTTAGAGTAGGTTAGGTTAGGTCAGGTTAAGTTAGGTCAGGTCAGGTTAGGTCAGGACAGGACAGGTTATTTTAGAGTAGGTTAGGTCAGGTCAGGTTAGGTCAGGTCAGGACAGGTTATTTTAGAGTAGGTTAGGTCAGGCCAGGTTAGGTTAGGTCAGGACAGGTTATTTTAGAGTAGGTTAGGTCAGGTCAGGGCAGGTTATTTTAGAGTAGGTCAGGCCAGGTTAAGTTAGGTCAGGTCAGGAGTATAAATGTTTGTGCATCAGTATAGAGAATCACCGTCAGTGCCGCAATGCTCAGGCAATTATCCAGTATTTATAAAGTAATTACCTTATAATTGTCAGGTAAATTATTAGGCTTTTTTGGCGTATTATCTCTGTTATTTAGGCTCTGTGTATTAACTACCGGATGACGCGTTATGAGGTCGTTAGGGCGTATGACGTCATCACTGTTGTCACGAGAGAGAGAGCGAGAGAGAGAGAGAGAGAGAGAGAGAGAGAGAGAGAGAGAGAGAGCACCAATAATGAGGGCTGGAGGCAGGATATGGGACCTCAGCTGGCGGTGACACGCGGTGATTAGATATTTTCTTGTCGACACAGTTAGTGTGCCTGAACGAGTCTCTCTCTCTCTCTCTCTCTCTCTCTCCTAACCTCTCTCACCTCTCTGCTCTCCTCCTTCTCTTCCTATTCCCTTCACTCTCCATCTTCCTCTTCTTCTTTCCTTCCTCCTTTTATCCCTTCCTTCCCTTAGCTCCCTCCTCCCTCCCTCTACTTCCTCCTTCCCTCCTCCCCTAACGCTAACCTAACCTGACCTGACCTGACCTGACCTGACCTGTAATATCACACCTGATTATTTCTCCTTTTATCTGATGTAAAAAACAAAACAAATAAAGATGGAATAAGAAAAAATAGGAAAATGATGAAAATAATGAGTAAATTATTAGAATAAACTGAATAATAATGTAAATAATGAGTAAATTATTAGAATAAACTGAATAATAATGAAAATAATGAGTAAATTATTAGAATAAACTGAATAATAATGTAAATAATGAGTAAATTATTAGAATAAACTGAATAATAATGAAAATAATGAGTAAGTTATTAGAATAAACTGAATAATAATGAAAATAATGAGTAAATTATTAGAATAAACTGAATAATAATGAAAATAATGAGTAAGTTATTAGAATAAACTGAATAATAATGTAAATAATGAGTAAATTA